CATGGGCTGGAGACAGGAACAGTCCCGTCTCAAATACACAGCGCATGGATGACTTCCACTGAGGAGAATATGGGACAGGAGAAAAAAGACATTTCTAGCTGCCTGCATCGAGCAAATGGATTTGGGCTTTGGTGCTGAAGATGGAATTAAGATCGCTTTCCTCACCACTCCTGCTCAGCTGCTTGGCTACTGAGAATTTGAGGAAGGGGACATTCATTTTGGATGGGTCCTCACTTCTACCCTCCCCCTCATAGATATAGGATGGTCTCCCCATCCCTCCCTACTATTCCTAAATGCCTCGGAGGCCACGGGGTGGGTGGGGACTGATTTCCAGCAAGTATAAAGGGAAGTGTGACTTGGGTGGTAGTTGGAAACTGGTAGCTTTAGATCCTTAGACTGAGGTGTATCTGGGGGTGTGTTGAGGTGTGCAGATAGACATATGCAGGTCAGAGTATGAGCAGATGGGGCCAGGGGACGTCCATTACCAGGAAAGGCAATTGTCAGTGGAAGAACAGGGTGCAGATTCTAGGAGTCAACTAGTGCCCCTTCCCAGCCCTTAATAGAATCCTGAAACTTTTCCAGAATGAATAAGTTAAAGAGAATATTTTCCCAGATACCATTTGAGATAAATATAAGGGGCAGATGGGACCTCTTAACACAATTTGATCAACTTCAAGGTTATAGACCGAGCTTAGGATAGCTGATCTTATCAGTAGTTCAAAAGGGAGCACTCAGGCTTGGTGGGCCAGAGGGACCAGGGAAAGGTGGGTGGGAAGTCTGCAGAGGGTGAGATTTGAGAACATTTTGCAAGGAGAGTTGCACATATCTCCAGCAGCAGAACCGGGGAAATGTCATGGGGTGAAAGGCCAGGGAAAGTCAGAGACAGAAACAAGGGAAGGGAGAAAGCGTCACCTCTTTCTAGAAGGGGAGAGGGCAGCAGTATTGCCTTTACCTCTTTCTCTGTCTTGCAGGAAGAACTGGGGAAGGGAGCTAGACGGTAAGGGTGGAGGGCCCCAGGGTGGAGCCCATGGGGTGAGCTCAGGTCAGGCCTTTCACCCTGCCGTGCCTCAGTTCTCTCCCAGCTGTTAAACAGGGCTCTTGGTTCTTCCCAGGGAGTTAATGAGTGTTTACAAAAGAGCTTGGAGATCCTCAGATCTCAGCTGGGCCACCACTACAGTTATAAAGCTCAATGAGGGCTGAGTGTTATTTGGGGAGGGGAGGAGTAGGGGAAGAGGCATACAGACTACACTCTTACAAACTGAGGATAAAACCGAGCTCGGAGAGTACAAGCCTCAGCTGCCACAGGATATCCTTGTGCCCAGGGATGGAGGTCATGCACCCCCGTACCTCCTAACCACCACCAAAGGCTGGCCTCCTGCTAACTGTAGGCAGAGCCTAGACTAGCAGCTGGTCTTCATTAACTCCAGCTTTTTTCACCCCCCACTGTGAACCCACAGCTTCTACAGGCCTAGGCTAGAGGGGGCTGCCCTAGTCCGACCTTGGAGCTTAACTCTGGGATGGGGGGGACCACACCAAAGGCCAAGTTACCAGCTGAAAATAAAGTTGAAGCAAGACTCCCTTTTCCCACTGGGAGCAAGAGGAAAGACAGGAGTGTGGGGGTGAGAGGGTGGAGGTGGGGGAATTTAGGGCAAACAGCAGGCAGTGAAGTCAGCTGGATTGAGGCCCAGAAACCCCCACACCCTGGGGCCAAGTCTTACTCTAGCTTTGCTTTCAGCCTGAGTCTTGGCTAGGCCCCAAACTTGGGAAGGCTCTGGCTGCCCCTTTCTGCCTCCCCACCCCCACCCTTATTAAATACACATTTTATCTTTCAGCATCTTCATTATCTTAACTGAAGGAGACAAGCAGTGGATGGCAGCAGCATAGAGCGTCGGGGGGGTGGGG